GCAGCCTCGACCTGCTGGGCTCTGGTGATCCTTCCACCTCAGCCTTCCCAGTAGCCGGAATTACAGGCGTGTGCTAGCATGCCTGGCTGATTTTTTGTAGAGATGAGGTCTCGCCTGCCCAGGCGGGCTCAGGCAATCCACTCACCTCAGCCTCCCAAAGGCGCGGGATTACAGGCTGAGCCACTGAGCCCGGCTAATTTTTTAGTTTTATTTTTGTTGCCTAGGTTGGTCTGGAATTCCTGGACTCAAGCAATCCTTGCCTCAGTCTCCCAAAGTATGGGGGTTACAGGTGTGAGCCACCCCATCCAGCCTTATTTTATTTTTAGAGACAAAGTTTCAGTCTTGTTGCCCAGGCTGTAGTGCAATGGCACAATCATAGCTCATTGCAGCTTTCAACTCCCGGGCTCAAGTGATCCTCCTGCCTCAGCCCCCAAGTAGCTGGGACTACAGGCATGTGCCACCATTCCTAACTAATTTTTAAAATGTTTTGTAGAAGCCGGGCTTGGTGGCTCAGCCTGTAATCCCGCGCCTTTGGGAGGCTGAGGTGAGTGGATTGCCTGAGCCCGCGGGTTCGAGACCCGCCTGGGCAGCGAAACCTCATCTCTACAATAAATAATAAAAAAAAAAAACCAGCTGGGCGTGGTAGCACATGCCTGTAATTCTGGCTACTTGGAAGGCTGAGGTGGAAGGATCGCCGGAGCCCAGCAGGTCGAGGCTGTGGTGGCCGGGAGCGGCCACTGCACTCCAGTCTGGGCGACAAAGTGAGACTCCAACTCAAAAAAAAAAAAAAAAATGTTTTGTAGAGAGAGGTCTCTCTGTGTGTCCCAGGCTGGTCTCCATCTTCTGACCTCAATCAGTCCACCTGTCTCATACCTCCCCATGCACTGGGAATATAGGCACATGCTACCCCAGGCTATTTTGTTATTTTATTCATCTCCAAAATCCTAGAAGACAAGTTAGGCCAGATTTTGTTTCCTCACTTTATATATAGGAAAAGTGGAGGCACCTCCAATGAGGGAGAATACTGTTAGGTATTGTTAGTAATCAGGGAGTCAGAAGTGCCCAGATTGTTCTTTAGTTTATTAGACTGTCTCTTACCTTGTGGGTCCTGCCAGCATTGATGTAGATTCCTGGGAGAATGGCACATAGTCCCCTCAAAATGCCATTATTTAAAATTATATTTTACTTAAGATAGATGCTTCAAGTTAACCCAGAAAAGTAACTGAGGATGGGGGAGAAGAGAGCCTTGAAGAGCACGTTTCTAGGAGACCGTTTTCATATCAGATGATGAATGTAACATCTTTTTTATGTTCTAATCCCAAAATTTAATTATATCTCTTATAGTAAGACATAGGGCTTTTCAGGACTTGTTTAAAGAATGGGATAACATATCTGGGTAGGCTGCCATTTAGTGGTACTGGTACGTGACTCACAGATATGATTAAAGAAGAGCAATGAGTGTGCATGTGAGGACAGACTGTATGTATGAGGTAGCGGAAAGCAGTGACTGCTGCTGAAGATACTAGTTAGAGTGGGATAAAAATCAGCTTATTTAGGCTGGGCTCAATGGCTCATGCCTGTAATCCCAGCACTATGGGATACCGAGGCGAGCAGGTTGCTTGAGCCCAGGAGTTCGTTACCAACCTGGACAACATAGACAGACCTTATCTCTACAAAAAATCCGCCAGGTGTGGTGATGCATGCCTGGAGCCCCAGCTACTCTGGAGGCTGAGGCGGAAGGATCCCTGAGCCCAGGAGGTGAGCCATGAGGGATGATCTGTGGTGATCCATGATCTGTGGTGAACTATAATGGTAACTGTGCCACTGCACTCCAGTCTGGGCAACAGAATGAGACCTTGACTCAAAAAAAAAAAAAAAAAACTCAGTTGCAACGAAGAATGTGAAACAGTATCAATGACAATGAACTTCTGTCTCCTGTTATGGTCTTTCACTTTGATTTTTTTTTTTTTTTTTTTCTGATTTGGAGTCTCACTCTGTCACCCAGACTGGAGTACAGTGGCATGATCACAGCCACCACAGTCTTGACCTGCTAGGCTCAGGCAATCCCTCCATCTCAGCCTTCCAAGTAGTTGGAACCACAGGTATGCACCATCACACCCAGCCCCACTGTGAATTATTATAACTTTGTCTTTATTATAAAGACAAAGTCTTGCCATGTTGCCCAGGCTGGATTTAAACCCCTGGGCTCAGACAATCCTCTTGCTTTGGCATCCCAAAGTGCTGGTGGTATTACAGGCTTGAATCACCACACCCAGCCCCACTGTGAATTTTTTTACTCATGCCTGATTTTTTTTTTTTTTTTTTT